CTCATGCCCGGGGCAGCCCGGTGACCTGACATTTGGAGGGTTTGATGGGCTTCGGCCCAGTGCAGTTCCAACTTTGCATTCCAGTGGGCGGCAGTGGAGAATGGGGTGGTAAACAAGGGTCGCTGCTTTTTTCTCTCGCCTTTATCCACTTGAAGGAACTTGGGTTTAGCCCCCCTTTGTCCTCATTCTCTCTTTACTTCTGTGGTGTTTCCAAATGCCCTTTGTCCTCACCCTGCCCCCAACTTTCAGGCTTGTTGTTGTTGTTGTTTTGTTCCTGCGTGCAGACATACTCGCAGAGGGTGGACCTTAATGTGGGGAGATTGAGCGTTCCCCACTTTAGGGAGACGAAATTGGAACCTTTCGCTCAGGTGGCTAACTCACTAGCAAAGGGGTGGTCTCACGGATTGCAGGTGTCATCGCAGGTGAGCCGGTTTTCTGTAGTAGATAGTGACCATGCACATTGTTTCCATTGTTTCCTATGACTTTAGGGCGTTCTTGAATTTGCTGTTTTGTTGTTGTTTTTTTTAATTCCGTGGTAGATAACTTGGAAATACTGAGGTTGTTGTTTTTCTATTTTGTTGAATTTCTTACTATTTTTGAAGGGACGAATCACAAATTGAAGGTTGAACGTTTTAAATGGTGGGTACAGAGATCGAGGGAAATGAGTGTTTTAGGAATCTGTTTAGTTTTTTTTTATTTCCAAAATTAAGTAAAATAAAGCAGTGAGTCAGTCGTTTGTTTTGAAGGGAGGTGCGATCTTGGCAAAAGTTTTAAATGAGTATCTTAAGTCATGTAGTTATGTGTATTTTTAGGACTACCCAATTACTTTTGTTTTTTACCCTTATAAAGGTGGAAGACTCAGATTCAGGCTTGAAATTGGGTCAACTTTGTAGAAAAATGTGGCTAATCGATAGGGGAATGTTTAATATTCATGCCTGTGATAGTTACCGAATACCCAATAAAAGCACATTTTTAGAAAACTGTGTAAAAGCAGTACCAACTGTTTGCCTTTTGTGGTCACCACACTATACTTTTTCAGATGCAAACATTTAAAATCACTAAATAAACATACAAGTTTTTAATTGAGGAATATTCTCTTGTCAAGTATACATTTCATTTAGAGATACTGGAAAAATTAGTTGCACAAAATGGAATTTATATAACTTCTAGCAGAGCATTATTTAGCAAATTTTACTGGCCAAATTTAGTGGAGTAAAGTTTATTTCCAAAAAAGGATTGTTTCCCAAAAAATATCATTGATAGTCAAGGTAAATGTGCACTAGTTAGAATAACCTCACTCCAATGGAATTTGTTAAAAAAAAATTAAGTGTTTTCAAATTGTAATATTTTTGCTTAACTGAAAGGAGTGTAGAGAGCTCTCTCAGTTTGGAATAGGTAGTATATAAAGGGGACTTCCTGTAGCATATACTGATTTAAATTAAATGGTTTTTAAGTTTAGTCTTATTTAAAAAGAATGGTTTAATCTCCAGTTTTATTGTTAGGTTTCTTTATCTTTGTGTGTTTTTACCTTTAATTGTGACATTAAAATTTATGAAAATTCTTAAAACAGATTTTATGTTTTAGTCTTGTGTGAGAATTTTGTTCAATTTCATTTTCTTCCACTTTTTTCTTTATTGTATGGCCTTTTATCCCAAAATTCTTCACTGGAAACAGGCAAATTTATGGTCATGCTAGTGATAAGTTTTAAACCATTGTTTTTTATTTCATTGCTTTTGTCTTAAAACAAGGCTTTTAGTGTGTTCCATTACAGTTGCAGTTAAAAGTTGGCAAAGTCCGGCCGGTGTGGCTCAATGGTTGAGAGTCGACCTGTGAACCAGAAGGTCATGGTTCCATTCTTGTCAGGGCACATGTGGTGTTGCGGACTCAATCCACAATGTGGGCTGTGCAGGAGGCAGCTGATCAGTGATTCTCATAATTGATGTTTCTATCTCTTTCTTCCTCTTCCTTCCGCTCAGAAATCGATAAGATAGCCTGAGTATGCAAATTAACCGCCATTTTTGTTGGGTTAATTTGCATAGTCACTCTGATTGGCTGGTGGGCATAGCAGAGTGACACTAATTTGCATGTTTCTCTTTTATTAGTGTAGATATATATTATATATATGTATATATATATTTCAGAGGCCTCCTGCATGCCCCACACTGGGGATCGAGCTCACAATCCTGGTGTGTGCCCTGACTGGATTCGAACCGTGACCTCCTGGTTCATAGGTCGACACATAATCACTGAGCCACGCCCGTTAGGCAAAAAATATATATTTTTAAAAATAAAGTACAGCAGTGAACTCTTTGTAGTTTTGATTTCTTTCAGTAATCTGATTGAGGGCATAAAATATAGGTGTGTTCCATTTTTACAACACTCTACAAACTGATAACTTAGAAAGTATTTGTTATATTCTAAAAGTTTTCCTTAATAGGAGCTATTTAATTTAATTTTTTTATTGATTTCAGAGAGGAAGGGAGAGGAGATAGAAACATCAATGATGACAGAGAATCATTGATTGGCTGCCTCCTGCACGCCCCCTACTGGGGATTGAGCCCTCAACCCGGGCATGTACCCTTGACCAGAATTGAACCCGGGACTCTTCAGTCTGCAGGCCGATTCTCTATCCACTGAGCAAAACCGGCTAGGGCAATAGGAGCTTCTTTTTCAGATTTAACAATGATTTATATTAAAGAAACTTCAATAATTTTTTAAAATAAAGGGTTGCATAATTTTCATTTGTTCTAGCAGAAATGAATCTGTTTTCTGCACTCCTCCCCCCAAAAAAACACATCCTAAAACTCCAAAGTTAATATTTGGCCTGGTGATGTCCTTCAGATTATGGAATACTCTTATTATATGACTCTAATTCTTTTTTTTAAATATGTTTTTATTTTATTTCAGAGAGGAAGGGAGAGGGAGGGAGATAGAAACATCAGTGATGAGAGATTGGCTGCCTCCTGCACACCCCACACTGGGGATCGAGCCCACAACCTGGGCATGTGCCCTGACTGGGAATCAAACCCTGACCTCCTGGTTCATATATCGACACTCAACCACTGAGCCACACCAGCCGGGCTGACTCTGTAATTCTTAATATGTAGTTGAAACAATTCTTTTAAGGAAGTGATTTTTAGTCTTTCTGGTATATGGATCCTTTTGTGAAATTGAAGTTTCTCTGGAATAAATAGATACATGTAAACTAGTTTCTATGCATTTTCAGAGGCTTAACTGATAAGTTAATCCCTTTTTTAGGGGATTTGATAGGTAACTAACAACAGTTTTAAAAATTATAAAAGTAATGCTATTTTAAAAACAATTGTATGATGAGTTAAAATTTCTTTTTTAATTTTTCTTCAATCACTTTGAGAATACCTCTTAGGGCTTTTACCTTTTCTGGAAGTTGAAATGGTCTTAAGTGAACTAAGGCAACATTGTAAATTGAAACATAGTTAATGTCCAATGATTTTTTTTTGGCACTAAATGTAATTTTATTTTTTCCCCCCCCCCCCCCCCAACCCAGTGCAAATATAGCACCTCAGTATTTTATAGATGATGCTTTTACAGTATCAAGTTGATTCCAAGATGCATATTTATCTAGTTTTTAACTTCTCTGAAATTGGGTTGTGTCTTAGAAACCACAAAGTCATACAGTTGCCATCAGTCTGGTGGCACTTGTGACCTAATTGTGAGAGAACACTGCATTAAAATCTTCTGATATTTTCATTTTTCTTTCTTTTCTTTTTTTAAAAAAAATATTATTATTGATTTTAGAGAGAGAGGAATGGAGAGGGAGAGATAGACACATCGATGAGAGTGAAAAATCACTGATGGATTGCCTCCTGCATGCCCCCTACTAGGATTGAGCCTGCAGCCTGGGCATGTGCCCTTGACTGGAATCGAATCTGGGACCCTTCAGTCCACAGGCCGATGCTCTATCCACCAAGCCAAACCAGCTAGGGCTCATTTTTCTTATTGATTTTAAAGGGAGAAAGAGGGAGAGAGAGAGAGAGAGACAGAGAGACACATTGATTTGTTGTTCTACTTATCCATGCATCATTCATAGATTTCTTCTTGTATGTGCCCTGACAAGGGCTTGAACCCAAAACCTTGGTGCATCTTGAGGGTGGTCCAACCAATTAAGTGCCCCGGCCGGGACTTCTGATAATTTTTAAAAAAAAATATACTTTATTGATCTTCTACAGAAAGGAAGGGAGAGGGATAGAGAGTTAGAAACATCGATCAGCTTGCCCTGACCAGTTTGGCTCAGTGGATAGAGCGTTGGCCTGCGGACTGGAGGGTCCCGGGTTCGATTCCAGTCAGGGGCATGTGCCTTGGTTGCGGGCACATCCCCAGTGGGGGGTGTGCAGGAGGCAGCTGATCAATGCTTCTCTCTCATTGATGTTTCTGGCTCTCTGTCCCTCTTCCTTCTTCTCTGTAAAGAATCAATAAAATATTAAAAAAAAAAAAAGAAACATCAATCAGCTTCCTCCTGCACATCCCCTACTGGGAAAGTGCCCGCAACCAAAGTACATGCCCTTGACTGGAATCGAACCTGGGATCCTTCAGTCCGCGGGCCGATGCTCTATCCACTGAGCCAAACGAGTTAGGGCTGATAATTTTTTTTAAAATGCTAGCATCAGTACTTAAATTTGATAATAAGGGTTCTTATAATATTTTTTTTTTAATAAGAGAAAGTTTGTTTAGAAAGTCACAGAGGTAGAAGAAATGGGCTCAGGAAAGAAGTTATAGAGGCAAAAGAAGGGTTGTAGCTTAGGAGAGAGAAGAAAAGGTAACGTGCCTATTCCCCTCCTCTTCCCCTAAGTGGGAAGATTCCCTAAGTGGGGAATAGGAGGGGAATAGGAAAGGCGAGGGTTTGCTCTTGAGAGGGAGAACGCCAATAAGGATTATTCTTGAACAAAAGATTTGGGCCTTAATACTTTCTTTGCAGCATGTTAATTCCTGTTTCAGAGATTTGTGTTAGTAAACAGTATTTATTTTTAAAATATATTTTATTGATTTCAGAGCTGAAAGCGGGGAGAGAGAGAGAGAAAGAGAAGCATCAATGATAGAATCATTGATTGGCTGCCTCCTGCATGCCCCACACTGGGGATTGAGCCTGAAACTTGGGCTTGTGCCCTGACCAGAATTGAACTGTGACTTACTGGTTCATAGGTTGACGCTCAACCACTGAGCCAGGCTGGCTGAGCTAGATTGTTTTAAAGTAAATCTCAGACAACGTATCCTTTCATCCCTAAATGCTGAAGTCCCTAAAAGATAAGGACTTTAGTCTTACACTTGCTAAATAAATACTAACTCTTTCATACTATCGAACTAGGGGCCCAGTACATGAATTCGTGCACCTTGAAAGGAACTGTGGTCTGGGAGGCTGCAGTAGGCACAGGGGTGGGTCTTGGCC